CATTTCGGGCAAATTTTTCACTGACTCGAGTATAAGCCGAGTCGGCTTTTTTCAGCCCAAAAAGTGGGCTGAAAAACTAGGCTTATACTTGAGTATATACAGTATATTGCCTTATTTCTGTGGTACCAATCCCCTGCCCTGGAAGCAGTAGTATCATTCCAATGCCCCAAAAAGGTAGAGAAAAAAAATAAAAAATCACTTATGTTCCCCAGTATTAAAAGTTGCTCATTCCTCCTTTCAATAGCACAATGAGTGAAGTTTCATGTTTCTCTTCACTTAAGGTAAAAGATGATTTGGACGCAATAAAGATTGAAGAAGAAATGATGGAAAAGCTGCCTTTGATGGAACTTCTTAAATTCCCTCTTCCATCACCTGCAAACAATACGAAACGTCTTGCCAGGCTTCATGAACTCATGCACTATTGTACCGATGGTAATATTATTCTTTTATCAGCTTACTGTTTCCAAAGTAGTCCAAATCCTTATTATATCAACTTCCTACATCCTCTGGGAAATAGAATAATTTCCTCATTTATTTATTTATTTATTTATTTTTGCTTCTGGGAATGCATTGGTTGGAATAAAGTTAGATCAGACGTGAATGATAAACAGATTTCTGACAAAATAAAAAGTGGATGCAGGCAATTTAAACAGACATTTTTCTTTCTGTGACTTAATTTTCTTGTAGAACATATGAATTGGGCTGAAGTAGAACGAGCTTTTCGAGTGTTTACATTTGAAAGTTTGAAGCTGACAAAAGTCGATAACTCTGGGCGGCTTGAAAGTTCTGGCAAGATGCTTGGTGGTGATGATGAGGTATCTTATATCCCATGGGACAATCCTGCTAGGTTTGCTAGACAACTGAGACAAGAATTAATTTCCAAAAAGGTTTCTGAAGAACTTAATCATAGTATTTCAGGTAAATAAATTTTAGATGTATTTTGTGAATATATTAAAGCACAATGCTTATAATTTCTTGAATTATTGAAAAATTATATCTAGTAAGAAAATCAGAACAAACTGGCATTTTATAACATTTGTGTTCATTAAATGATATAGTTTCCAAAATTCCACACACAACCATAAAACATAGAATAACAGAATTGGAAGGGACCTTGGAGGTCTTCTAGTCCAACCTCCTGCTCGAGTAGGAGACTATACTATTTCAGATAAATGATTATTTTGTCTCTTTTTGAAAGTCTCCAGTGATGGAACACTCACAATGTCTGAAGGCAAGTTGTTCCTTTGGTTGATTGTTCTCACTGTTAATAAAATTCTCCTTAGTTCTAGGTTGCTTCTCTTAATTAGTTTCCATCCATTATCCATCTCGTCTTGCCTTTTGGTTCTTTGACTAATAGTTTGACCCTATCATTTTTGTAGGAGCCCCTCAAATATTGGAACTATCATGTCTCCTCTAGTACTTGTTTTCATTAGACTAGACATCCAATTCATGTAACCCTTCTTCATATGTTTTAGTCTCCAACCCCCTAATCATTCTTGTTGCTCTTCTCTGTATTCTTTCCAGAAATTTATTTTTCTTGCCTAACTTTACTTTTATCTAGGTTAAATTTCATGTTGTTAGATAGGACATAGTGTTCAAGTCTGTCAAGATCTTTTTGGATCTTAAGCTTGTCCTCTGGTGTGTTGGCTATTCCTGCCAGCTTAATGTCATCTGAAAATTTGATGATGATATCGAAGGGTATCGGGCCCAAAAGGGAACCTTGGGGTACCCAACTGCTTATTTCCCTCCGTGTAGTTGTAGTTCCATTGAGGACTACATGTTGAGTATGATTTGTCAGCCAGCTATAGACCCATCTGGTCGTGGGGTTGTCTATTCCACATGTTCTAGCATGCCAAGAAATAGGTTGTGGTCTACTTTAGCTCATGCTTTACTGAAATCTAAGTATACTATATCCACAGCATTTCACTGATCCACTAATTTGTCCACAAATGAAATAAGATTTGTTTGGCATGATCTGTTTTCAACAAACCCATGTTGGCTATTGGTATAACCATCCTTGGCCCTCTTTTTTTTTCTAAGTGAAAGAAAATGGTTATCAAGGGAGAGCTCTCAAGATGGCTGCATTGATTACAGGCTCTACTTTTCCCAAACAAAGTTGTTTCCAGTTTCTAAGGGAAACATTTTCTGCACTGTACTGTCAGTGCTGAAAGCTGAATTGGTAATGCAGGGGAATTCCTGTATGAATGCGTACTCAGAATTGATCTAATTGTCTTTTTTTTAATTTCTTTTTCATAGATCTAGACTCTGAGGATAGTGCATTTCAAAGTCAACAACATTTTTCTTTTTTACTGGGGGAAAATATCAAGAGACTATCCAAATCTTGCAGCTCAGGTATACATTGTTTGGAAATATCTTCTTTTCCTTTTCCCTTTCCATTTTGCCTCTGGAATTCCTCTGGAGTCCTTGTTCACTATATTGAGAAATTAGAAACTTGCAGCATTAATAAGATGTATCAGTTGATTCATATTGTTCCCAAGAAATTTACTGCTGCATGAGTTTCTGACTATAGATTCTTTTTTACAGCACACTGAATGCCTAGCTTTGGAGTTGTGTGTGTGTGAGAGAGGGGGGGGGGAGGGAAGGAGGGAGAGAGAGAGACCCTAGCATGGTTTTTACATTAATTAAAAACAGGAAGCTAGCATGCTGCAAAACAAAATTCAAATGTCCAAACATGTCTTTATGTACAAAAATTACTCTGGACTCTTTACGATTAAAACGTTTTCCCAGTAGCTCCACACACCAGCTCTGTGTAAACTTGGTCATGAAAAGGACAAAATTAAGTAGGGATAATTGTGGCATTCTTGTAAATTGGTAATTTGTGACTTGTTACATTCCCACGATAGCTACTCTGTGAATCTGCTAGAGCCTATAGTTCATCCTTAATATTCTGCTCATCAACCCTAAAATGTTTGAGACCATTGCATTCTTTGCTTATGAAGGAAATGTTAAAAATGATCCAGCCACTATTGATCCTATTGCTGCAGTGATGGGGAGAAGATATACAACAGTTATCTGTACTAAGGTGTCTAGAGCATATTGCATCACTGATTGGAAGTGCTATAATATCTATATGGGATTAGCTGGCTTGAGTTTTGTTTGGGAGGGATGAACGATCTGTTGAGTGTTCTTAAGTGTGGCTGTTTATACACCATATTTTTACATTACATAACATGGCATCCTAGCATATGTTACTAACGTATTCCATTTTCTGAGTTCAGAATATGCCCTGAGGCCAAAATCATAAAATCTCTGCCATGCATCATGGATTCTTTTTCTCTTGAGTCTATACTCAAAAGTTATCACAGGTATAGCTATTATACATATGATATGGGGATAGCCTGGCATGATATGGGTAGAATAGAAACAGATGGAATTTAGTATGTTTTACCTCTACTTTTTGTTCATAATAGGAGTTATGTTGCCAGTCTAAAGTGTGTGTCTGGGAAAGTTAGTAATTCAGATTGAAGCCACTCTTCCCTGGCTTCCCCTTTTCAATATTGCCCATTCTCTAATGCAGCACTGTATATTCTTATTAACTGCTAAGCATCCTCTCTACTTCAAAAATTATGACCACTAAAATTAGCATTGCTCTTGTCCTCTTAAATAGAAGGGATCCCTGTCTTTTCCAAAGCACTGGCAAGAATGCTGCTTTAAGAATTCTTTTAAAGATCTTTTAAAGATCAGCTGGTTTTCCGCTACCTTTCTATTGGACTCTACAGTTAGCAGATGAAGAATTGCTTATTGTATATAAAATAATTCAGATCTGGAGAACAATATAGCTGGTTTAATGGAATCTGATTCTTGAACTAGCCCTATTCTAACTTCTACAATGAGCATGAGATGAAAGGAGATGGATGCATGAGTAACTCTCTCCATGAAAGGAGCAATAGGCTGTTGATGTCTGAATTTACCTTCACAAATCTGAGAACAGTGATAACAGGGCTACTGTGCTCCCATCTTCATATATTCAAAAGCCTGAAGCTTGAGGAAGGTGATTCTGCCATAGAAGCTATGACTGTTAATATACCATGTTTTCCCCAAAATAAGACAGGCTCTTATTTTCTTTTGACCCACAAAATATGGCTTGGGCCTTATTATCAGGGGAGAGCTTTTTGTTTTGGGGTTGCCGCGCGGCTGCTCTCTTGCGAGCAGGCTCCCAAAGAGCTGGGCACGGCCTCAAGGGCAAATGGCTGTGTTGCGCTATTGCAGCAGTGCAACACAACAGCCATGAAGCGACCAAGCTCATGAGCAGTCACCTGGCAAACCCCCTTTCTAGCCAGGCACAATGCCATTCACTGACCTAGGGGTATCGCCAAGCTGCGTGAGTCCCTGTTCGGCATCGCCTGGCTCCCGCGGCTTGGTGCCTTCGAAATGCCAGTGAATGGCGCTCTGCATGGCTGGAGAGTGGAGTTGTGCGAGCTGCTGTTCCACTCCCGCACCTCCCAGCCTCATGATGCCCTGGCCCAGCTCTCCCTGCAGAACCAGGGCACCTCTTCTGCTGCTGCCCGCCACCTGCCACCATCCCAGCATGGCTTTTTTGGCGGCTTCCAAACCGAGTCTTCCGGCAGTGGTCACTCTGGGCGTACACTCTATGGTTGTATGCCAGCTGCCAGCAGAGCATACTCCCAGAGCGTACAACCATAGAGCGCACGCCCAGAGCGGCCACTGCCAGAAGACTCGGTTTGGAAGCCGCCCAAAAAGCCATGCTGGGATGGTGGCTGGCAGCAGCAGTGCCCTGGTTCGGCAGGGAGAGCTGGGCCAGGGCATCGTGAGGCCCTGGGAGGCATGCGAATGGGGAGCAGAACAGCCCCTTGTGCAACCCCCCTCTCCAGCCATGCAGAACATCATTCACTGGCATTTCGAAGGTGTCAAACCGCGGGAGCTGGGCGGCAGCAAACAGGCGCTCACACGGCTTAACTATACCCCTAGATCAGTGAATGGTGCTGTGCCCAGCTGGAAAGGGGGGTTGCTGGGTGGCTGCTCGTGAGCGTGGTCACTTCATGGCTCTTGTGTTGAGCTGTTGCAACAGCGCAACACAGCCATTTTCCCCTGAGGCTATCCCCGGTTTGCAAGAGAGCAGCCGCTTGACAACCCCCCCTCTCCAGCTGGGCACAGCACCACTCACCAACCTAGCGGTATCCCGAAGGTGCCAAGCAATGCAATCATCCTCCCCCCCCCCCAGTTCCTCCGGCTTGGCACCTTCGGGATACCGCTAGGTTGGTGAGTGGTGCTGTGCCCAGCTGGAGAGGGGGGGTTGTCAAGCGGCTGCTCTCTTGCAAACCGGGGATAGCCTCAGGGGAAAATGGCTGTGTTGCGCTGTTGCAACAGC